GTCCTTATGATTTTGAACCACACATAGAAAATGCCCTCGTAATAATCGGCACAATTTTATCGACCAGAATGCTTATCCGAACTCAGAATATGCATGCAGTCCACACTATTTCTTGTCGGGATTTTTTCTACGGTCCATCGATTAGGTTTCGTATACAGAGGGCACTATGTGCCCTTGCTTGAAGTAAGGATGTGTGCTAATGGGTGGTCCTGTAGGTCTGTTTCTGTCGTAGATCATGTTTGGTGTAGAAGTTCGCTTCAGCGATTTGTCGATCCTTAACATAAATGTGTTAGGTAGCCTCCCAGAAACTATTGTGATTCGCTTGGTAAATCGATTGGAATTTCAGTCACTGCGTATGGTAATTTGAACTCTCTCTTGATCCGTCTGATTTGTAGCCTCTGAACAGCATTTCTAATTATAAAATAATCCAAACCACTTCCTATTCTGACAGGATACCTCAACTGATCCGGCTTTGCTTGACTTGCCTATCTGAATCATGTAAGAATCCAAATGCACGCACGCACATTCATCGTTGTCCGTGTAACTAATTGTCTAGTCTGACGTCCTCTTTTGTCGTACAGTTGTTCTTCCCACCGCACACACACACACATGTGCCCGTGTTTATTTCCATCCTCTTGTTCTACCTATGTCTAGCTAAATATGTGATCATTTGTGTTATTTCTTTCTTCTAGGAATAATATTGTGCGTTTGGCATAGAGTGATCACGGGAGCGTAGAAAAACCATGTCATCTGTTTTACAGCACTGATTGTTTTCCGTTTAGACTTTCTCCTCTAAATCGTTCTTGTAGGCCGATACCTCCATGACCCCGNATGACCCCGGACAGACTACCACGCCTTGTATTCATGTCAAACCGGTCTTGCGGTGGTTAGTTTTCGAATGGTTATCAAAATGAACTGCGTTCATAAGCTTCGTGAACTCTGCAGCTTTATACATTCCCCTCCCCCACACGCGTGCATAATCATCTACTCTGAGTAATATCCTCAAGTGTTTTGATACACACACACACACACATGTCTGAGTGTGAACGGATTACTCACGGTTCTGTGAGACTTTCTACGGTTATTATAGCGGATCGTCTGTGATGTATCCGGAAACATGTTCCGGTTGTGAATGCTGCTTCCTGTTCATCGTTTACTTGTCAGTCCAAACCGCAATCATTCACGTGCACACAACCAGTGTTAAAGCACATCAATCCTGTTGTAGCATGTTTTTTTCCAGCGATGTTCATCAATGAATCTGATTATGTTTGACGGATTTTCAGCCACTTCCAAACCACATGTTACGCTAAGTTAGGACACTTTGCCTATTTTCTCGCCGTGGAGTTTCATTGGCTGGATTTGCACTCGACGGGATTTGTTTCACACAGTTCAGTTCAATTCTGTCAAATCGACTGGTCCGCTTGTATCACTGTTCTTGGCCATATTTGTCCCTCTCTCAGTGATCGTTACCTGGTTTCAAAATAAATGCTATTTCAGTGTGGATATCCTTAAGTTGATAATGAAAATAACATTGTGCCCGGTCCTCTCTATGATCTCCTGGTTTCGAAATATTAGTGAGGGTTTTTAACCCGGACAACTGCACCACATAAGTTTGTTGGTTTTAGAATTACTCGGAACATGCTAGTGATGACCATTGATACACAGAAAACTGTTCTCGCAACGACTTCTTATAACCGAAACGCCGTTTTCGTCGTGCCTGTATTTCGATCCCCACTGTCATCCTTCTACCACCGTATGTAATAACACACCTGACCCATTCGTGCTTTTTGTGATTCATCATTTCCTGTTATGGTTGTACAAATTGAATCCAATTTATCGTTCTACTGACCTATATCGGGAGTTTTAGGGGATGTAAATCCGCCATAAAAACATATTTCAAATTCAATTGAAAGCTTTTTCAGTTCATTGAGTTCCTGTGTTATTTTTTATTATTATTCACCTGTGTACATCGATTACACAGATGGACATTCATCTCATCGTTTGTCCATGATGTCTATTGTGGAGGCGTGGATTGTTTTGTTGTAGATACATTGTTATTTTTTGATCCGTTAGTTCTTTTCTTATGGATCTCCATCGTCTTCCAAAATAAATCTTTTTCGACTGCGGATCGCAGCGATCTCAGATTTCGAAAACACATTATTGGTGTGCCAAAATCTCATCCAATTCCATGGCTACAAGTTTTGTTTTTTCTCTTTGTCTGTTTGTCCCTCTCGACCAATCGTTGAATCTGCCGAATTCCGTTCGCACATACACATATGAAGAATTCAACCGGTAAATGCTCTCCTATAACATCAGTTGATGTGTCGTGGCTTTCCCCGTAGATTTCTTGGCTAACACACTCCTGGTATTTTCGTGTGTGCGTGCGTGTAGATCGCACATTTTCATCGCGTTTTTGGTACATGTGGTGAATGGTCTCCCCTGCACTCTCTGACGCACCACTTGCTTTATTCACGCGTCATCTGGCACCCACTAGTTCGATTCNCTGTTGATCAATCTGATCACTTCTCCAAAAGTCAAACCGAAATTCCCTTCCTCCATTTGCTTTGTTCCTGCACCGCACACGGTCATACAGTCTCCAGTTCTCCCCAATCATCGCCATCGCTTCAGTGTGCCCGGGAACGAGACTCGTCCTAGTCGTGCGTCAGTCACCAACATGATGTCCACGACCACGACAACCAGCAGCGCCTGCAATTTGCCCAATGTTAGCTCCTCGCGTCCACCCCGTGTGCGCTCTCTCTCACTTCGTCCTATCCCCAAACAGAAAAATCTGATCTTGGACTTGGGCAGTATCGATTCCGATTCGGTCCATACATCACACGTCACCCGGCCATCAGACACAGCGGTCGGACTGCCTCAGTCCCCGGTCTCGTTTCCCTCGTTCCAACTGTCCAATTCACCCACAATCCAGGACACAGTAATGGCTCTGTTCTCCCGAGTGAGTTATGCAGCCTTTTTTCGTCTCGTGTATGTTGAAACCTATCGGGAACGGGTGGAGCAAAGTTAGGTCTTCCCTAAAATGGCTGTCTTCCCTGTCGATACTCACATTTTAAGTGCAATGGTGCAGCGGTTAGCTGGATGTGCACAACATATTTAATTGTATCTTTTTAAGCTCCCGGTTTCACACGTTGCGGTTGTAGAGATGCTGTCACTTACAGCATTACATTCTGGAGTCAGGTCTTTTACTCATATGAGTGTTTTATTTGCAATCACGTCGTGTAAACTAGGGTAGGTTTGACTAAAAACTGCTGATTGACTTGAAAAATATCCTACGCAAATCCTAGTGGTAGGTCGAACTACGTATGTGTTGTGGTTGATTGCTGAATTTTCCTGCATTGCAAAATGTTTTTCCCTGGGTTTAGTTACTCAATCTTTTTGGTCCACTAAAATACTGTGGCACTTAGTTTAAACGCACAGTGCCAGTGATCATTTNCATTTGACCAGTACAGTCGCCAGAACGATACTCACACAAGCCAATGGCACATTCAATTGATACTGTGCGTTTCCGTTCTCCAGAGTAGGGGTTGTTCTCATTTTTACCCATCAATTACTAAAGTTTAGAGCAAGGATTAACAAGAGATCGCTAACTTAATGTTGTTGTTTTCTTGTTATACACCTATGTGTGACAGTGATCCCAATGAACCCCATATTCAAGAGAATTTACTAGTCACGTGTGACTTGTTCTAGACGAAGACGGACACGCTTTTCTTTCCATCTCCTGTGACGGTTTACGCCACATCCCCGTTGGCATCAGGAAGTGTCGATTACGTGTGTCTCAGGAGTAGCAAGAACTGTGCAATCGCTCGTTTTGCTCTATCCAATCGTTCCTATTTCTCTGATCAGAAAAACGTGATCTAAAATCGGTGTTGGTGTGAAGCTCGTCCGGGTTCGGTGCATCTAGGCCTCAAATCTCATAAAATTGTTCTCACACTGTTTTTATGTTAGCTTGTTTCGAAATCACTCCTTGAAATGCAAATAAAGATATATTTTGCAGTAATGCTTTCAGATCGGAAAAAATCCTTAGACTATACTTTGGGATTAACCAACCAAGACCAATTTTTTCATCCTTCACCACATATCATTGTCGTTCGGTGTATTCAAATGTTTGACTCTTCCGATTCGTTTTGTCTTCTCCCGTACATAGTTCGACGTTGAACACGGAAACCAGAACACGGACGAGCAACTGTCCTCGGGACCCTGAAATACCGACATGGACACAAACAGCTGTTTTTTTCTTTTCCCTGTCCTCCTATTCCGCCCGCTCAACCCACTCAAAGCAGATTCGCGCGACGAGGCCAGTTGATTTGTGATTCGCTTCAGTCAGTATCAACCTGCCCCTCGGTTGCTCTCGGTCGAGCCTAGTTTGCCCACGAACACTGTGATCTCATACCCGGTTTGTGCTGTCTTTGTCTTTGTGTGTGTGTGTGTGTGTTTGTGCGGGGTTGAATCGGTTTCGGTTTCCACACCTCACCGTCGGAGGAGGAGGAACGCGGCAACTTGTACACCATTTTTGCACTTTTATTGCCTTATCGATTTCTCTCTTTCTGTCTCATCGAATCTCATTATTTCTGTTCTCTTCCCCACCCCACCCCGACATCCTGTTTTTTTTAATACAGACTCGGTGTTTTTGACGCGTGTTGACCTACCGGCGTTTAAAATCGGAGAGTGTGTATCAGTTTCATTGACTTCATCAAACTTGCAATAACTCGTCTCACCTTGAACATATATGCCAGCCTACCTGATGCCTTGCTTAATGTTGGTTTTTTCTTTTCATTTTCGTCTGAATACAGCAAATCGGTTTTTTGTCTTTCTTTTTGCCAACCACCGTGTGTGTGTGTGTGTGCGCGCAGAGCCTCTTTTCTACAGTTGATTCCAGTTGTTCATCTGTTGCACCCTCTCTCCACCTGCCTTCCCACTCATCATCACAATCGCCGTCGTCCTCATCGGCACCGAAAGTACTGTGGGCACACACACACTTTCTTTGTTGGCTTCCACTCCCTAGCCGCTAAAATTTGCCGCAGCAGCCCCTCGTTTCGTTCGTTTCTCGTCTCACTTTGCTCGAATGATGATGATGATGTTTGCACGCAGCCGAGCAACGCGATGCCCCGAACGGGTATCCTTCCTATGTTATTATCTGTTCCCTTGTACATGATTACGCTCAAAATATCGCTTGCTCCCCCCCCCTTATGACTTGACCCCATTGTCTTCGTCCAACTGCTGTGTCTTGATGCTCATTGGGAGCAGAATTTTGCGAGGTCTTTTACTTTCACCGATCTCCCCTTCCCTTCTTCCATAAACACACACACACATATATATATATATATATATATGCACTTATAAATATATACACACTGTGACTATCTACTTGCCCGCACCCAGTCACACACATAAATATGTACGTATATAGAATGAATTTGTGATCCTTCACTTCTCATTGTCTTTTGATTCTCTAGTGGGGGATTGAGGGTACTTTCCTTCCACTGCGATTCTCACACCTTATTTGGTATTTGCACAATAACCTCTTCCATGCACGGTAGTGTTCGAGCGTCTTGCTCGTCAATTTGCTACAATTTCCTACTTCGTGCTGCCATAGCGGACAAACAAACAATATTTAAAGTCCGTTAGAAGTTCACATCTCATCCAGAGGTGTGGGGAAAAATGAAATCGCTTGTTGTTGTTTTAACATTAACCTATTTTGATTATGATCGTGAAAACCTGCACAGCTTTGTCACTGTTCGACCAAGAAGAGCGTCTTGACCCACGAATTTAGTAATCGACTCGTATTCCTAACAGTTTTATTACGGTGTACTTCGTAATCAGTCGTCATTACGAGACTACTACTCTTTCAAAAAGAATCATCAGGTGATGAAAGACTGAGCTTCCATAAGAAAGGAGATAGAAAAGCACTGGAGAACAAATTGAATCAGAAACAGATCTTGTATTTTTTCGATCACCGCTGTACATTTTGCAAATCTTGTTAAACAAATGGTTAATTTATTTGCAACCAGGTGAAATGCATTGCTAGTCGACAGGCGCCTTCTTATCTCACATCTCCGACTTAAACTGGGTTACTACAAGCATACCTATCCGTGCACGGATTACGTATCGATCTTTTGTGTTTGGTTTGTCTGTGCCAACTGGACGCTTTGTCCGCTGACGTCATCGCATTTCGTAAAGTCCTCGCCTGGTTTCTCTGTTTGTTCCAAAGCGTTTACCGCCACCACCACTGTCTAGTTTTTGGTATTCTACAGTCTCACCAGAATCGAATTTAAGGCACTCGGTGCTTTGGGTGGATATTTCGCAAACTGTACGGGAATAACTGGTGAAATGTCACTTGAAATCGATCGTGAAACGCAGACAACCCAGATTGGACATTCGTTTCAACTTTTCGAATTTCCGACTAGTCAATCGGGCTTTCTTTGTGTTTGTGTGCACGAACACAAACCGGACGAGTAGACCACAAGCCCAATTAGTTCAGTCGGTGCGTGTGGTCCGCTCTAGTAATAAGTAATGCTAGGGATTGGTATCCCCTTCAGGGTATTCATTGTGATTATCATTGTACTGGACTTTGTTGGCTAGTTAATCGATGTCAAATGTGTGTGTGTCGTTCATTTCCGCATCATTACGCCGAGGAGTGGGAAGTGTGACCATTCTGGATTAACTTGATCATTTTTATGTTAATAGCAGTTCCTTTTTTTCACTTGATCCACAATCAACTTTACCTGAAGGAACTGCGACCAGTGGTTCGGTTGTTTAGTCGCTGTCACCCTATGGTCCGAGGTGTGAACCCCGCCACCCAGCTTTTAGAGTAGGCAGCTTTGCTGTCTTTGGGTTCAATACAACGTCTATCCCCCAGTGTGGCCTCATACGGTTCGCTACTCCAAATCCCGGGGTGTATGTTGCCGGTTTCCCTTCACCGAGGTTCACCCCGACTGTTGCTCATCACAAAAAATGTCAAATTTGAAAATTTTGATAGTTGTCTGGACGCCAATCCATATTGATCAGTGTACATTAGAGCTGATTCTTGTCTCACCTGATTTCATGTTACATCTAAATTAAATCTTACTCTGGACGTTTAATATATGGGGTTCTGCTCGCTTGTCATCTGGCTACTCGTATTTCAGTAATCCATACAACAGCTCACTGGATATTCTGAAACATGTAGGATTGTTGGTTTGTTGACCGCCCCTTAATCAGTTTGAGTGGGACAAGAAAGGCATGAGCTTGTAAGTAATTCGCATAATAAATCTTTGAGTGTATCATAACTATTGATGCTTGTCTCTCTCTCGTGTGGTGCAATTTTATCATCTGAATAGTTGGCCTAACGTCCTGGAACAACATTTCGTTGTTCCCTAATTGGCAATAAAAAATATACTGTGCACGTCATATATTCGGAGAACGTAGTCCTCCGGATCTTCCAAAGGGTTCATAGATTTTAGCTGTTATCCGTGGCGATGGTCACCCTCCATCCTAGTGGATTGCGGTTTTTGCACACCTGCCCACTATCCTGCGGCCCAGGCTTTGTCTGTGAATTTCCCTGGAAGATTCACTTGCCTTGGCCTGGGGAACTTGGAAGTATTTCACCCAAATGCAAATCATGGAACTATTTTCTTTTTATAGAGACTGCTTCGTGTTTTCAAGGTTAAAGGCTTGAACTCTGCCACACCACCCAACATTGCCTGTACACATCTTCACTTTCATCTGGCCCTATAGCCAGCCTATGCTTCGAGGCTTCGTGTAATTTGTCTCAATTCGCGAATTCTCATTAGACAATAATAACTCTTTGTGACTGAGGGATTCTTCCAGTTATCTCTTTCCCCCCAGTATGTTGCACGTTAATAAAACTAAGCATGGACAGTGTTTTTTCTTCTCAAGTCAAGTAAACAAATCGCTTTATACATCTCGAAAGGTGGATGTTCAGCAACCACATAACCACAGTGTGTCACAAAAAGCGAAAAACATTATAAAACAGTAGTTGAAAGATGTCAAAACGGACAGCAGCATACC